ACGGGGAAACCGAGGGGAGTGACGAGTTAGAAGGCTAGCCATCGTGTAAATTGAATATGGATTTTAGATATAAATGATGATCTTGTATTTGGAGATTTTATTGGAGATTTATGATATCAAAGAGATTTTATAATTTGATCTTCAGATTTTGATGGTATTAGTTTGTTATTTGAATAAGTTTCGAGCCTTGTGCACTTGTGGGATCCGTCTCACGAGTGCATAGCGTCTACCACGTCCCTGGATTTGGGTTCTGGGGCGTGACACTTAGCACAAAGAGTAATAAGCAACAATAGTTCAATTTATAAGTCAAGGAAAAATGTTCAAAATAGATTTACAAATTTTTAACTCAATAACATTAATCTTAATGAATTAATTACTTCTGTTATAAAAATAAATTTTAATTAATTATTACAATGAAATATAATCTTCTCCCTTTAATTTACTTTTCTTTTTGGATTTTAAATAATAAATTAAATTTCATTTTAAAAGTGGAGATTGTATTTCGATCTCAAAATACCACATGTATTAGATGGGTTTAGAGTTTTAATATTCTATTTGAACTTTCATTTAATTTTTAAATCATACCCTAAATATATTTTTTACAATCCCAAAATTAACATTATTCCATCCAATTAAATCATTCATACTCTTTCACCGCATATCAATTTTTTACATAAATAGTTTCCCTAATTAAACATTAAAATTATAATAAAACACTTTTAAAAATTTTAATTTAAAAAGCATCATATTATTAGAGCACAAAAGAATCATTAATGCAATTATCTAGATCATCACTACAATTAAGTTCTAAACATATAGCACCTGAATGTTCTCAAGATTAATTTGGAGTATATCGACTAGTGCAACTCTTTGCGGAAAGGCAACGATCAAATGTTGGAACAAGAGTAACATTATTTGTTTTAGAAAAATAAAATAGTCAAATCCTTTGAAACTAAAAAAAAAATAATGTATTGATTGTTTTCCTTTTTTAACCATTATTAACAATATAAATAATAGTATATAAGCTTTCTAAAGATATTTTTTGTTTAATAATTATTAAACAATTTTCTTTATTATCAACAAGATTTTGTTTAGTTCTAATTAAAATTAAGAGAACAAATTTATAAAATTTATTTGTTTATTTTACTATTTCAAAATTTTTATCGAATAAAATTTAAACTTTAATCTCAAAAACTTTTTTCCTCATTTAACCTCCTTAAGCTATTAGCAATTTCACTCCTTGTTTGTGTGCCACTGCCATCCTACAAAACTTTTATATTTCTTCAAATTCGTTACCCCAAGAAATAAATGAATAAACATAACTTTTTATTAATTTTCTTTAACTCAAACTAATACACTAAGAATGCAAGCCAATAGTTTAGAAACAGTTTCACAACTAGAGCCCATTGAACCCTTGAACTTTTCAATTTTAGATTTTGAATTGTACAATGGGATTTAAACTTACCCTCTACCTCCACCCATCATGCCTGCATGTTGTACAACTACAACCCTAGGCCTTTTACTACCAAAAAAAGGATATTACCACTTGATCACTTATGTCATTAGGGACTAAATCTCCAACATATAGACTATAAATAGTAATCAAACACTTAGATCATTAAACAAAAAGGAGAAAGAAACAAAAAGTCTAATAGCAAGGTCGTAACAAAAGGCAATAGGTCAAAGTTATGGATGAAAGTTTTCAAACAACATAATAGCCTCAACAAAAGAAGTACTCAAACCCCAAAAAAAGGGAGAACATTCTTAGCTATATGAGCACTTCTTTGGAGCAATCAATCCATGTATTTGCGACTCACAGGAGACATCTAAGATATGATCATTTGTATCGTAATATAAGAAGTAATCTTGTAATAAATAAAAATTTGATAAATTAAGAAAAACAATTGATAATTTCCTATTAATTGTTCTTATTAATGTTTTTAGCATCAAAACTTCAAAAGTGACCCTTTTAATATTGTTGACCAAAGCACGCTATTTAAAACTATATTATTGAATACATAAAGGTTGCTTTTACAATTGTTGATTGGTAACAACTAATTTTTAAATTTAATCAAGGAAAGGAATTGATGAAACTAAGGCAAAATTGTTCCACATTTTCTTGCTCTTTGCTAAAATCACCTATGGATTATTGTTTTTAAATTCAAGATTTTGAAGAGACTTCAGTATGAATGTGTTGTGACAAATTTGACCCAATACTTTGAGCTCCTAAGAACATTTATCAATTACAGTTTTAGTCTTGAATATGTCATCAAAAACCTCAAGCACACATTTCTCTTCCATCCTAGTTTCACAACCATATTTTTTAATGGTAAAGTTGGGATCTTCCACTGCCATAACTACTCCAATTGAACAAGTAAAACTGGTAGGATTGAATAAATAGTAAACTTCACCATGGTGCTAAAAAATACTAATTACTCCCTTTTTTTCCCTCTTGAGAAACCTTAGCACAAATAGTAACAAGCAAGGAAAGTTCAATTTATAGGTTTGGGACAAACAGTTGAAATGGATTTAGAAATTTTTAATGTAATAACATTAATCTCAATGAATTAATTACTCCTTTTACAAAATTAAATTTTAATTAATTATTATAGTGAAATATAAACCGTCTTCCCCCTTTCATTGACTTTAACTTTGGATTCTAAATAATGAATTAAATTTCATTTTAAAAGTGGAGCTCATATTCCTATCTCAAAATGCCACGGGTATTAAATTGTTTTAGAATTCTAATATCATATTTGAACTTTCATTTAATTTTTAAATCATATCTTAAATATATTTTTCACAACCCCAAAACTAACATTAATTCCATCCAATTAAATCATTAATACTCTTTTAGTTACATATCAATTTTTTACATAAATAGTTTTCTTAATTAAACATTAAAATAATAATAAAATACTTTTAAAAATTTTAATTTAAGAAGCATCATATTATTAAAGCACTAGAGAATCATTAATGCAATTGTTTAGATCATTGCTACAATTAAGTTCTAAACATATAGCATTTGAATGTCACCAAGATTAATTTGCAGTACATCGATTGGTGTAACTTTTTGCAAAAAGACAATGATCAAATGTTGGAACAAGAGTAACATTATTTGTTTCAAAAAAATAAAACCATCAAATCCTTTGAAACTAAAAAAAATAATGTATTGATTGTTTTACTTTCTTAACCATTATTAACAGTATAAATAATTGTATATAACATTTCTAGATATATTTATTGTTTAATAATTATTAAAAAATTTACTTTTTGATTGACGTGATTTTGTTTAGTTCTAATTAAATTTAATAACACAAATTTATAAGTTTTATTTGTTTATTTTACTATCAAAATGTTTATCAAATGAAATTTAAACTTTAATCTCAAACACTTTTTTTTCTTATTTGCCCTTTCGAAATCCGTTAGCAATTTCACTCCCTTTTATGTGCCACTGGCCATCCTACAAAACTTTTCTTTTTCTTCGAATTCCTTGTCCCAAGAAATAAACAAATAAGCAAAATTTTTTGTTAATTTTGTTTAACTCAAACTAACACACTAAGAATGCAAGCCAATAGTTTAGAAACGATGTCAAAGCTAAAGCCCATTGAACCTTTGAATTTTTCGATTTTAGATTTTGAATTGTACAATGGGATTTAAACCTACCCTATACTGCCACCCACCACACCCATATGCTGTACAATTACAACCCTAGACCTTTTACTTCTAAAAGAAGCACACTACTAGTTGATCACTTACGTCACTAGTGACTAAATCTTCATCATATAGACTATAATTGGCAGTCAAACCCTTAAATCATTAAACAAAAAGGAGAAAGAAATCAAAGGTCCAACAGCAAGGTTGTAACAAAAGGCAACAACTCAAAGTTGTGGATGAAAATATTAAAACAACATAATAGCCACAACAAAAGAAGTATTCAAACTCAAAAAAATGGAGAACATTCTTAGCTATTTCAACACTTCCTTGTAGTAATCAATCCATGCATTTGCAAATCATTGAAGACATTTGAGATGTGATTATTTATATCGTAATATTTGTAATAACAATGTAATATATAAGAATTTGATAAATTAAGAAACAATTGACAATTTCCTATTAATTGTTTCTGTTAATGTCTTTAGTGTCGAAACTTCAAAAGCGACCCTTTTAATATTGTCAACCAAAACACATTATTTAAAGCTATATTATTGAATATATAAAGGTGGCTTTTTCAACCGTTAATTGGTTACAACTAATTTTTATATTTAAACATGGGAAAGAATTGGTGAAACTAAGGCACACTTGTTCGACACTTGCTTGCCCTTTGCCAAAATCACAGATGGATTCTTATTTTTGAATTCAGGATTTTGAAGAGACTTTAGTACAAATACATTGTGACAAATTTGACCCAATACTCTGAGCTACTAATAACATTTGTTAGTTATAGTTCTAGTCTTGAATATGCTATCAAAAACCTCAAGTGCACATTTCGCTTCCATCTTTGTTTCACAACCATACTTTTTAATGGTAAAGTTAGAATCTTTCGCAGCCACAACTGCTCTTGTAATACCCCAAAATTTCCTAGAGCATATAAGTTGAGTTAGGGACTTAATAGTGAGAAAACATTATTAATGGACCTAACTGTCAATTTTTCAAACTTTAAAGGGGTTAAAACTCTTATTGGATAAGGCCGGCTGACTCATTTCCCTTTTCTT